TCAGGTTGGGCAGGGCGGCTCGGGCTGGGCGGCGCGGCTCGGCCGGGCTGGGCGGTGCGGCTGGGCAAGGCAGGGCGCGCCGCGGGCTGCAGGGCAGGGCGCGCGGTGGACAGGACAGCAGGGCACGCTGTGGACAGGGCAGCAGGGCGCGCGCTGTGCAGGGCAGCAAGGCGCGACGCGCGGGGCAGCAGAGCGCGACGTGCCGGCTGCAGTAGGGCGCGACGCGCGGAGCAGCAGAGCGCGACACGCGGGCTGCAGCAGGGCGCGACGTGCAGGCTGCAGCAGGGCGCGACGCGCGGGCTGCAGCAGGGCGCGACGCACGGGGCAGTAGGGCGCGACGCGCGGGCTGCAGCAGGGCGCGACGCGCAGGACCGTGGGGCGCGCGCTAGGTAGGGCAGCAGGGCGCGACGCACTGGGCTGCAGGGCAGGGCAGTGCGGCTCGCGAGCTGCAGGGCAGGGCGGCGCGCGGGTCTAAGGGCAGGGCAGAGCGATGCACGGGCTGCAGGGAAGGGCAGCGCGTGCTGGGCAGGACAGCAGGGCGCGACTCGCAGGCTGCAGCAGGGCGCGACGTGCGGGGGGGCAGGCAGTGCGAGTGGCTGCAGGGCAGCGACACTGTGCGAGCAGGGCCGGACAGCGCAAGGGCGCTTCGGGCAGGAACGAGCGGAACTACGGTATCGGTGGGCCCTAAAAACTTAACAGGTTTCCTGCTCTGAATACCATGTTAGAATAACTGTGCAGGAATGTTTGGATTAGCAAGAGTTGGGGTACAAGTAATAACCCTAGAAGTGCTGCACCCCATAACAAGTGCCCCACTATAGCCTACAAGTAAGATTGTACTTTGACAGTTGTATCTTCTCATGTTGTTGTGTACTTCAGGTACTGCATTTTCCATTAGGACCTGCTGTTAGTGAAGCTACCTAGTGTACTTAATCGCGGCTCAACAGCAATACTGTTGATGTACGTGCCCGGACTGGCCTCGGGGAATCAATCCAAGGAACCATGCTCTCCTGTCAGAGCATCGTGAATTTGCGACTTGCACAAGCACACCATTTCATAACAGTATGGTCTACCCTGTACATGTCCTGGTTTTGTTACACTCATCTGGTACGGTACTTCGTGAAAGCTCATGAACAGAATTTGACTGCACCAGAATTTCAAGGCTTGAGTAGAGTGGATTCTACTACCCATGATACAATGATGCTCAAAATCATACGTGTATATGAGTAAATTTCAAAGGAACGACATGGGCACAGAACCATGCCTGGCATGCTCTTGGACCACGCTGCTCCATGCTTGTAGGCATCGCAAGGGATGTTGAGTTGAGTGCATGTGAGAGCATGCATGCTACCATGCATGCAAAGGCTATGAAACCACATGCCACTGTTCACAAGAGGGTGAGGATGCGGGTGTGAGCACATGTGGGGTACGGGTGTGATTGCATGTGTGGCGGTAAATGCACATGACAGTGTGAGTGTGTGTGTATTGATGATCAGCCAAACTGTGCTTGCAGTGCGCAAACCCAAGATCGCAGTGGTGGGGACCACGGGGCACAGGGGAAGGCAGAGAGCAGGCAGACTGCCACCTGGGAGGAACAAGGAGCAGGGGAGGTGAAAAAGAAAGAGGAGAGAATAATAAGAGCACATAACGCATTCATAAAACCAGCTCACCCCACATGCCTGGCCAAGGTTCCTTACCATCCTCCACCAGACATCGCACTTATGGGGTTATGAGTGGTCTAGTACCATTCACGTTATGAAGTACCATTCACGTTACGAAGTACCATTCACGTTACGAAGTACCATTCACGTTACGAAGTACCATTCACGTTATGAAGTACCATTCACGTTACGAAGTACCATTCACGTTACGAAGTACCATTCACGTTACGAAGTACCATTCACGTTATGAAGTACCATTCACGTTACGAAGTACCATTCACGTTACGAAGTACCATTCACGTTACGAAGTACCATTCACGTTACGAAGTACCATTCACGTTACGAAGTACCATTCATGTTACGAAGTACCATTCACGTTATGAAGTACCATTCACGTTACGAAGTACCATTCACGTTATGAAGTACCATTCACGTTACAAAGTACCATTCACGTTACGAAGTACCATTCACGTTACGAAGTACCATTCACGTTACGAAGTACCATTCACGTTACGAAGTACCATTCACGTTACGAAGTACCATTCACGTTACGAAGTACCATTCACGTTACGAAGTACCATTCACGTTACGAAGTACCATTCACGTTACGAAGTACCATTCACGTTACGAAGTACCATTCACGTTACGAAGTACCATTCACGTTACGAAGTACCATTCACGTTACGAAGTACCATTCACGTTATGAGAAGTCCCATCAGACATATTGCATACTTCCTGTGAAGGACAGCCTAGTCCCATCAAGCACTCAACCTGTCACCCTGCTTCCTCCTTGTCGCCTCACCTCTCTCACCTCTCTCACCTCTCTCACCTCTCTCACCTCTCTCACCTCTCTCACCTCTCTCACCTCTCTCACCTCTCTCACCTCTCTCACCTCTCTCACCTCTCTCACCTCTCTCACCTCTCTCACCTCTCTCACCTCTCTCACCTCTCTCACCTCTCTCACCTGTCTCACCTGTCTCACCTCTCTCACCTGTCTCACCTCTCTCACCTGTCTCACCTCTCTCACCTGTCTCACCTCTCTCACCTGTCTCACCTCTCTCATCTGTCTCACCTCTCTCACCTGTCTCACCTCTCTCACCTGTCTCACCTCTCTCACCTCTCTCACCTCTCTCACCTGTCTCACCTCTCTCACCTGTCTCACCTCTCTCACCTGTCTCACCTCTCTCACCTGTCTCACCTCTCTCACCTGTCTCACCTCTCTCACCTGTCTCACCTCTCTCACCTGTCTCACCTCTCTCACCTGTCTCACCTCTCTCACCTCTCTCACCTCTCTCACCTCTCTCACCTCTCTCACCTCTCTCACCTCTCTCACCTCTCTCACCTCTCTCACCTCTCTCACCTCTCTCACCTCTCTCACCTCTCTCACCTCTCTCACCTCTCTCACCTCTCTCACCTCTCTCACCTCTCTCACCTCTCTCACCTCTCTCACCTGTCTCACCTCTCTCACCTCTCTCACCTGTCTCACCTCTCTCACCTGTCTCACCTCTCTCACCTGTCTCACCTCTCTCACCTGTCTCACCTCTCTCACCTGTCTCACCTCTCTCACCTGTCTCACCTCTCTCACCTGTCTCACCTCTCTCACCTGTCTCACCTCTCTCACCTGTCTCACCTCTCTCACCTCTCTCACCTCTCTCACCTGTCTCACCTCTCTCACCTGTCTCACCTCTCTCACCTCTCTCACCTCTCTCACCTGTCTCACCTCTCTCACCTGTCTCACCTCTCTCACCTGTCTCACCTCTCTCACCTCTCTCACCTCTCTCACCTCTCTCACCTCTCTCACCTCTCTCACCTCTCTCACCTCTCTCACCTCTCTCACCTCTCTCACCTCTCTCACCTCTCTCACCTCTCTCACCTCTCTCACCTCTCTCACCTCTCTCACCTGTCTCACCTCTCTCACCTCTCTCACCTCTCTCACCTGTCTCACCTCTCTCACCTGTCTCACCTCTCTCACCTGTCTCACCTCTCTCACCTGTCTCACCTCTCTCACCTGTCTCACCTCTCTCACCTGTCTCACCTCTCTAACCTGTCTCACCTCTCTCACCTGTCTCACCTCTCTCACCTGTCTCACCTCTCTCACCTGTCTCACCTCTCTCACCTCTCTCACCTCTCTCACCTGTCTCACCTCTCTCACCTGTCTCACCTCTCTCACCTCTCTCACCTCTCTCACCTGTCTCACCTCTCTCACCTGTCTCACCTCTCTCACCTGTCTCACCTCTCTCACCTGTCTCACCTCTCTCACCTGTCTCACCTCTCTCACCTGTCTCACCTCTCTCACCTGTCTCACCTCTCTCACCTGTCTCACCTCTCTCACCTGTCTCACCTCTCTCACCTGTCTCACCTCTCTCACCTGTCTCACCTCTCTCACCTGTCTCACCTCTCTCACCTGTCTCACCTCTCTCACCTGTCTCACCTCTCTCACCTGTCTCACCTCTCTCACCTGTCTCACCTCTCTCACCTGTCTCACCTCTCTCACCTGTCTCACCTCTCTCACCTGTCTCACCTCTCTCACCTGTCTCACCTCTCTCACCTGTCTCACCTCTCTCACCTGTCTCACCTCTCTCACCTGTCTCACCTCTCTCACCTGTCTCACCTCTCTCACCTGTCTCACCTCTCTCACCTGTCTCACCTCTCTCACCTGTCTCACCTCTCTCACCTGTCTCACCTGTCTCACCTGTCTCACCTGTCTCACCTGTCTCACCACCACTCGTTTCCTGTCACCAATTCACCTTCTCACCCAAATGCTCCTTCTTCTGACCCTCCCATCCACCCCCCTCCTCCCCCTTCCATTCCTCTCCTCACCTGCCACGCCATGCGCCTGACAGCCTTCTCCTCGTGCCCCGCTAGGCACTTCACCACCACTGCTGCCACTCGCATCCGCACCCCCTCCTCCCCCTCCTCACGCCCCCTCCACCGGGCCAATGGGCGGCTGACACGTGGCATGTGGGAGGAGGATGTGAGAAGAGGCGTGTGTAGGGCCAATGGTAGGAGTGTGTGTGGTGGAGACAGGGAGTGGGCGAACGAGTGTAGGTGCAACGGTGCACGGGCAGCTGGCGAGTCATCAGGCTGTTGCTGCTGCCGCTTCCCCCCCACATGCTCGTCCGCCTCTGCTTGACTCCTGCGTGCGTTTCCTCTCACTCGAGGCTGCTTGGTTTGCTGCGGGAGACGTGGGTGTGAGGAGCGGTGCAGATGGCGTGTGAGGGAGAGGGGTAGGGGTGGGGAGGCGGGGAGAGTGAGGGAGAGGAGGAGGGGGAGAGTGTGGAGGGCGAAGGGTGGAGACACATCGCATAGGAAGGTGAGCGCGAAGAGAGCTGCATGGAGCTCCTAGGGTGGTGGGGTGGGGTGGGGTGAACAATGGAGGGAGGGAGGGAAGAGGAAGGGAGAAAGGGAGGGAGGGGAAAAAGGGTAGAACAGGAAGAGGGGAAAATGGGGGATCGAGGATGAAGCGAGCAAAGGGAACACGGAGGAAGGTGGGAGCGCTAAGAGAGCTGTGCAGATCTTGCGGTGGGAAGACAGGTGAAAGGGCACTTGGCGTGAAGAGGCGGAGAGAGAGGGGCAGAAGGGAGAGAGGGGCAGAGGGGAGACATGGCAGAGGACATTGGCAGCAAGGGGAGCATGACGGAGCTAAGGGAGGAGGGAGCATAATGGAGATAAGGGGTGAATGGCAGAGGGGAGGGGGAGGGGGGAGGGGCGAACGGCAGAACAAGGCAGCCGAGCCTCACACTCCATCTTCAGATGCTCCAACAATTTAAGTGCTGGTACATATTCGACTTCGAACTCAACAGATAATCACTACTTAGTGCACGCTTGTATGTATCAACCACCTCCAAAATTGTTTTGCGCCCTGAACGCTTCAAGACGAGTCGGTCGCTCAAGTTTGTTTGAATGGTGCAAGATTTCCCTGCTAGAGTGGTAAGTCCACACACGGGCAGCAAAGAATCGCCTACACGCACGCACGCACGCATGCAGCTCCCACCCATCGACACACCCACAGAACCACCCACCCACCAACCCCCCCTTCTCCTTCCCTCCCCCACACGGTCCACTGACCCACCCATCCACCCCCTCCTTTCCCCCCTTTTCCCCACCAGATACACACACACACACACACACACACACACACACACACGCATGCAGAGCTACACACACCACCTCCCACTCAACCCCACACTTCAACTCCTACTCCCACTTATCACCCTCCCCACAACCCTCCCCCCCACCCCCTCGCTCACCTCCTGCGGTCCCTCTGCTTCCATTGCTGCCCGAACCACCAACTCCTGCACGTGTGCCACGTCAGCAGCCAGCGGAGCCAGGCAGCCAATCAGGCGCAGCGCGAGACAGCGGGCTTCAAGTGAGTCAGCCGAGTCAACAGCGCCAGCAGCAGCGCCAGTCAAGGGCGAAGAGCAGTCACTTGGCATGTCTAGGGTTGTGCCTGTAGTGCGTGCTGCGACTGCAGCTGTTGTTGCTGCTGCTGCGGTGGGTGGGAGTGGGAATGAGGCGGAGCGAGAGAGCAGAGGGGAGATGCGGGTGATGACTTGGGTTGGGTTCAAGAGCTTCCGAGCAGTCAACACACCCGCCCAGTCACTGGCATTGCCAGCAGCACTATCACTGCCATCACCACCATCACTGCCAGCAGCACCATCACTGTCAACACTATCGCCACCATTGCTATCAGCATCACTATCTCCATGTCTCTCACAGCAATCATCACTGCTGCTAGCACCGTTGCTTCCATCATCATCACCATCAATGCCAGCACCACCACTTCCTCTCTCTGCCTCCCTCATGACCGCTCTCCCTCCCCTCCACACATCCCTTGCTCGCTCTCCCTCCCTCCTCCATCGCCACTGCAGCAGGCTGACGTCACACATTCTGCTGACGTCAGGCATGGCGTCACCATCCGCGTCACACCTCCCAGCACTGGGGCCCACTCTCAGGACGGCGGGTGTGAGTGAGGGGGCAGCAGCTGCAGCTGACGTGGCATGGTGAGATGCAGGAAAGGGACGAGAAGGAGGAGAGGGAGGAGAATGAGGAGAGGGAGGGAGAGGGGAAGTGACGGTGGAGAGGTGGAGGAGGAAGAGCTTGAGAATGTAGAGGCGGGTGGCGCTGCTGATGCTGCTGCTGCTGCTGAAAACATCAGCAAGGCGCAGAACCAGCGAATTGAATCGTGCCACGTCACTCTCAGACACAGGGGCTTGTCGCTGCTGCCCCTGCTCCTCCCGAATGCTCCCCCTCCTGCTTTCCGCCTCCCTCCCCCTTTTCCTCTTTCTCCCCGCCCCTGCGCGGCCCCCCGGCTGCTGCGCCAGCGTCCAGTGCACGAGGGCTGGCCCGGCCGCGAGAATGCCGTGGCACTGGGTGGCTGAGAGGGTGGGGACAGGGGACGGGTGGGAGAGGGTGGGAGAGAGGGTGCGAGAGAGAGGAGGGAGTGGTAGTGAGCGGGAGGGGAGGGAAGAGAACCGGAGAGACGGGAGAGAATGGAAGGGGTGGAAGTGGGAGAGGTGGGAGAGAGGGGAGAGAGTGTGAGAGTCAGGCGCGTAGTGAGAGGTGAGAGTAGTAGAAGGGATTGATGGGCGATGGCGCGTGGCGAGGCACGGCGGGGCATGGCGGGGTACGGAGAGTATGCGAAGGAGGACCGGGCGGGGAAAGGAACAAGATGCTCGGAGCGAGGGAGGCGGAGGCAAGGAGGCGGATGAGACGCGACCGACTTGTCGCAGGCGACGGCGGAAGCGGCGCAGCAGCGAGGAATAGATTAGGCACGATTCCCACAACAAATACGCGCGTACGAGTCTCAGGGCATGAACTGCAATGGATTCGATTAGGGTTACGAATGTTACAGGTGCTGCGAGTGGTGGTTACAGGTGCTGTGCGTGGCGGTTACAGGTGCTGCGAGTGGTGGTTTCAGCGGCGACCCACCAGGCTGCGGGGAGCGCAAGGCGCGCTCGAGATGCGCCATCCAATCCGCCGACGACGAGCCGTCGCGACCCGCCATTTTGGGGAGATGCACACTCGAGCGACTATGATACACGAAGGCTGTCACGGGTTGTTCCGAGTGCGCGGAAATGCGATGTCAAAGCTGTGCCTAAAGATTGAAAGGACGAGAGATGTAGCAAGGCAAAGAACGTAAGAGGGCCGAAAGCGACGCGGGCTGAGCCCCTCATTCTGAAAGTCGAGGCTGTACGCAATGTAGCGTAAACCCAATCAGAAAGTTGAAATCCTTCCACTACACCCTTTTGGAAGCGAGCGTATACATCTGCAAGGCTGTTTGAAACTTTCGGCAAACTTACCGGTATCCCGCGTTTGCAAAATAACTGAGAGTTTGTCGGGACTCTGAAACCCAACACCAACCTGTACATCGATTAAATATTCGAAATACAGCACATGCCATACAGCTATACAATTGCTGCTAAGTACCGTATCGCCCCGGATATAACCGCAAGCCTATTAAAAGCGCATTCGCATATATATGGAGCAATGCACTTATGGCCGATCCTCAATTAGAAGCGAACCCCTTATAAAATCGTTACTTATTATTGTGAGAATAGTGAACGAATGAATAACTGAACTAGCAAGCAGGTTGGTACAAGTAGGAAACCTAAAAGTGTTGTACCTGTTGGGCTGGGAAAGCCCTTAGGATCTTTGCAGGACAGAATTCAAGGGTAGAATAATGTAATAGCGGAAGCGTTTAATAAAAGGATTGTGATCCACCTTGCGCTGGTATTTGAGGGCAAATTTGATTGATTAAAAACAAAGAGATACAAGCTTTTATAAGGATACAGGGAATATGAAAAGATACGGTTAATAACCGTTTTACTGTTGCTGTTGCGGTTCGATACAGTGTCGACTCGGGCAACTGCTCAGTATCGAGACAGTTGTTTGTCCTTGCTGTCGCGCTGTATTTGTAAGGTCAAAGGTCGCTGACCTTTGACTTTCGCGTAACCTCCAGCAGTTGTTCAACCTCCGAGGGTTGACTCGCTGATGTTTCGATATGATCTGCTTTGCTTCTGAGTTGGTGTTTCGACACGACAGAGGCGCTTAAACTAATTGTTTCCAACACTCCCCTTCGCTTCTGGAGTGTCGCTGCTGGTGACGTGGCTCTGTCCAGTCAGCAGCATGCAGTACTCAAACTTCGATTTTCCGAGCTTCTTGGTCAAGTAATCAGCTGCCATCTCGGATGTTGGACAGTAAGACAGCTCAAGTCTCCCCTTCTCGATCTCGTCCTTTACGAAGAAATATCGCAGGGCGATATGCTTCGTCCTGTTCGCGAATCCGTTTTTGTTGGCTATGCGAATTGCTAATTGGTTGTCGCAGAGTAGGGAGAAGCTGGGTAACTGAGCCAGCTTCGCTTCCTCCAGGAGTTCGCGAAGGTACAATCCTTCCTTGGTGGCTGAGCAGAGTGCGATATATTCTGCTTCGGCTGAGGAGAGAGCGATTAATTCCTGCTTACTCGACTGCCACGAGATAGGTCCGATAGGCTCGAGACGGTAGATGTAGCCTGTACCCGATGTAGAGTAGATCGTCTACGTAAACGATTAGTAGAATGTAGTCGTCGCCTTTCGTGAGCCGGTACATGCCTTGGTCGTGCGGTAGCTGCTGGAATCCGATACGAGTGAGTCGTGCGTGTAGGTACTGCTGCCACAATCTTGGGGCCTGTTTGATGCTGTACAATGATTTCAGCAGTTGACAGACTTGGTTAGGTTCTCCGTGGGAACCGTGTGGAAGTTCGACGAAGATTTCTGCGTCGACAAGTGCGTAGAGAAAAGCGTTGGCGACATCAATTTGCCGCAGTTTCTTTTTCTTCATAGCGGCGATCGCGAGAAGAATCCTTAGTAAGGTGTGTCGACTGACCGGGGCAAATGTCTCGGTGAAATCGCGTCCATGCTCTTGGTCGAAGCCGCGTACGACCCATCGTGCCTTGAACTTGTCAATGGTGCCGTCTGCTTTCGTCTTCACACGGAAGTCCCACTTCCCGGTGAGTATTGTCTTGTTTCGTGCCATGCCGATAGGGACAACTTTCCAGGTGTTGCGCTCCTTCAGTGCTTTCAGTTCCTTGTCCATGGCTTCACGCCATTTTTCCCTATGCTCCCCCCCCAGAGCCTGCTGAACTGTGGCAGGCTCCTTAGGAGTTTCCGTGCCGTGGACCGCGGTGACTAGGCCGAGTATCTGGAGGCCACTCTGTGTGTATCGGGGGAGAGTTGTGTCCGCGGGATAAGCTGCTTCGTCACCTGTTTCTGGGTCAAGTATGAAGTTAGGCCCTATGCGTTCTGCTTCGTTGGTGTTGACTTCTGCAGGTGTAACGTAACCGGTGTCGGCGAAGTCAAAATAAGTTTCGGCGTTGACGCTTTCGCGAGGATTTTCGTCGTCCATCGGGTTAGGCACGGAGCAGTATGGGAGTGGTCCTGCTTCTTCCGAGGCGTTATCCACGTTCTGCTCGTCCCAGTCAGTTTCGTCTGCTGCCGAGGCGAAGTGTCGGTCACCACGGAAGCCACCTGTGGGATCCCGATCTTCTTCCAGGTTGGCAAGATATGTCGGAAGGATGAGTCGTTCGTAGAAAATGACATCACGTGCTGCTACTGTTTCTTTGGAGTGGACGTCGAAAATTTTCCACGCATTGTAATTTCTTTCGATGCCCAGGTGTAGTCCCCACTGTGCGCATTGGGAAAATCGGCCGGCTCGTGCAGATGGGGGTCGGTACTGTACCATGCAGCCGAAAACTCTTAACATTTTTGTGCTGCCCTGTTTTCCTGTCCACAGCAGGTGCGGTGATGCGTTGTTCGGTAGTGACGACGACGAAAGCAAGTTGTGCAGCATGACAGCGTGGTCCATCGCTTCAGGCCACTGGTGATTGGGCAGTCGCATGCCACGCAGTAATTTGCGCATGGTGTTCTGGAGAGTTCGATTCATCCGTTCGGCCACGCCTTGCTGTTGATGGGCGTAGGGAAGCGAGATGAGCCTCTTGATTCCTCTTTCTGCCAAGAACTGCTTGAACCTCTGTGAGGTGTATTCTCCTCCTCCGTCTGACTGGAAGCTTTTTTGTTTTACGCCCGATTCTCGTTCTACTACTGGGAGCCAAGCGATGAAGGCTTCGGAAGCCATGTCCTTGCTCGGAAGGTTAAGGTGCCAAACGTAACGTGTAGCGGCATCGATGAATGTGATGGTGTAGCTGTATGCTCCTTGTCCAGGTTCGCGATTGTACAGGATGTCGCTGTACACTTTCTCAAGTGGTGCGTAAGCTGGTGCGCTGGGGTTGTGGTGAGAAGTGAATGGCCGATGTGGTAAGTCAGCTTCGGGGCAAGTAAAGCACGTTCCACGAGCTCGTCGAAGTTCGCTTCCATCGGTTAGGAGCAGTGAATCTTTGTCGAGTACTCCTGCTCTGATTGTGTTGTTTAACACCGTGTTGCTTGGATGTCCCATTCGTGCG